CCTAACTGAGTATGACAGGTACGCAGTACGCACGAGCATTTCCCGAACCATACATTGCCGGTTATACAAATGACAATTTTCGCAGTTAATTATAACTGCTCTAATATATAGCATTTAACCTCAGTCCTTCTATTAGAGGGGCTGTGATACAATGGAGATTATCAACCCCGTTTGGTTAATCATTCCCCTCCAAGTTTGGCGTATTCGTTTTATGGGACTGGTCATTCAATGCATTGGAACAGCATTGTTATTCAAGCTTGTAGTGTCTGTCGTTAAATTCCTCCTAATTACACTGTAATGGAGAATTAATAGGATAAAGCATGTTTCCAATAAAATGAAGTGTGAAAGGAGCCTCTAGGCAAATTGTTTTTACCAAAGCCTGGCAGCTGAGTCACGCCCAGTGCGTTTGTATGTAGCGCTGATGGCGTGTTTGTCGTCCGTGCAACGGATATCGAGCTGAGCTATGGTTGGTTGAACAATTCGTGACGCCATCTATTTTTATACATTAATGACATATGCTGCTGGGAGCGAGACGAAAACACCAATCATGTGGCTACGAGGTCCGATTGACTTATAGTTCTACTGATCGATGAGACGAACAGAATTGATTCAAGTTATTAGGTATCCTTATAGTGATATATCATAATTGTTTGCTATAGTGACATGATGACAATCGGTGCTGGTCCTCTGCATTTGCTCCATATAGAGCTCTCGGTAGAAAAAAATGATTAAATGTGAACAAATTGCATTCAGTAACTGGTGGTATTATGCTACTACGATGCTTGAAATATTGCCAAAAATAAATTATCTACTTTTTAGCGCCAGTGTCAGAAAACTATTGTTCCGAGTGTTTTACGGTCTCTGTGGCGAGGCAGTCCGGAGGGAGAGTGGTGGTGCTTGCGCGTTAGGAAGTTTCAATCGTGCAAAAAATGACTAACGTGCGAATTTGATAGTAAGTTATTAGTATTAATATTTGTTGTAAATAATGTAATGATCACAATAAACCAAAACTACAATTTAATGTGCCAAGATACTTAATAATACACTGTTGGTCATAACTATTTCATGCTCACTCTCTGCAGTGTTCTTTTCTATTCTCATTCTCTGCAGTGAGTCCTTCATGCTCACTCTCTGCAATGAGTCCTCCATGCTCACTCTCTGCAGTGACTCCTCTATGCTCACTATCTACAGTGAGCTTTTCTATTCTCACTCTCTGCAATGAGTCATCCATGCTCACAATCTGCAGTGAGCTTTTCTATGCTCACTCTCTGCAGTGCGCTTTTCTATGCTCACTCTCTGCACTGAGCTTTTCTATTCTCACTCTCTGCAATGAGTCCTCCATGTTCACTCTCTGCAGTGAGCTTTTTGTCCACTCTCTGCAGTGACTCCTCCGTGCTCACAATCTGCAGTGAGCTTTTCTATGCTCACTCTCTGCAGTGAGTCCTCCATGCTCACTCTTTGCAATGAGTCCTCCATGCTCACAATCTGCAGTGAGCTTTTCTATGCTCACAATCTGCAGTGACTCTTCCATGCTCACAATCTGCAGTGACTCTTCCATGCTCACTTTCTGCAGTGACTCATCTATGCTCACTCTCTGCAGTGACTCTTCCATGCTCACTCTCTGCAGTGACTCTTCCATGCTCACTCTCTGCAGTGACTCATCTATGCTCACTCTCTGCAGTGACTCTTCCATGCTCACTCTCTGCAGTGACTCATCTATGCTCACTCTCTGCAGTGACTCATCTATGCTCACTCTCTGCAGTGACTCTTTCATGCTCACAATCTGCAGTGAGCTTTTCTATGCTCACTCTCTGCAGTGACTCTTCCTTGCTCACTCTCTGCAGTGACTCTTCCATGCTCACAATCTGCAGTGACTCTTCCATGCTCACTCTCTGCAGTGACTCATCTATGCTCACTCTCTGCAGTGACTCTTCCATGCTCACTCTCTGCAGTGACTCATCTATG